AGAGGTTGGTATCACCCACTCTTGCAGGCCAGCATTTATAAACACAAACATTTATTAATGAGATAATAAACACAAACAGAAAATACACAATGTGCAATCTAACTTAAAGGAACTAAGTTAGAGGAAAAAGGTGTGTCTGTGTGTGTGTGCGCACATGGGGGGGTTGCGCGCCAGAAAAGGTGTGTGTCCTTTGTCCTCTGACCAGATGTTTCAATGTATGAAACACGTGTTGGACAAGAGTATAGGAGAGTGGGAGGGTTGAGTTCCGTTCCCTCTCCTCGTGTGTGCTGAGGTTTAGGCCGAATATGTGTGTGTGTGATCTTAGATTAACGGTGCCGTTAAAAGGGAGTTAGTTGCATGCAAAGACGTGTCTGTGTGAAGCATAACATTAAACTAACATCACCTTAGCACTGTGTGACGGGGGTGTGAAGCCCCGATTTAAAACCTGAGTTCTACTGAGGAGCACTCTGTCAATCAGCAAGCCAGTTTTAAATCGGGGCTCCACACCCCTGTCACAAGTGGCATTGTCGTTTGTCTGGCCATTTTTAGCCACAGCTGTCCTCTGGGGCGAGTAATGGAGGCATGGCCGGAGGAGGTTGTAATTAAGGGAGTGCTCAGGCCCCTCCTTGCCCTCGGGCCTGATGCGGTACACAGGGCGCTCTGGATGCGGCCAACTGACCACCACATACTGTATGGCTGCTCCTCCCACCTGTCACTGAGTTTGTCCCCCTGTCGCCTTCTCTGGTCCAGAACTAAAACTTGTTCGCCTGGTAAAAGGGGGGCCTCTCAACAACAACAACGACAACGTCCTCTCCAGCCCTGGATGTCCTGCCTGTTGGTGGTAAGCCTCCCATAGAGATTTAGCTTGGGCACCAGGGGCGACAATCTGTTGCAGAGTCTCAAGCATCTGTGAATCTTGTACATTTCTGCACACAACACCCTCTATTAACTCTAATCTCTTCCAGTTGCTCAATAGTCTCTTAACTGGCAAAGTCAGTGACTGTCTCTCTGCAGCATTAAGCAACCTACCTTGTTTCAGTTCATTCTTTCACCTTACAAAGAGCAGGGTCCTCAGCTTGCACTCTCCTCCATCGTTCTGAGTCCCACCCCCAGCTGTCTGGCAAGACCTGTGGGGAAGGTGGGGCTTCCACCACGCTCACTACCTGCTCCGCCTCTGGCCTCTCTCCCACTTGACCAGAGCCTGTGGAAACAGCAGGAAGCCTAGAGAGAACATCAGCATTGGAATTGTCTTTTCCAGGGCGATATTTGATAGTGTAATCAAAGTTGGCCAATTGTGCAACCCATCTTTGTTCCACAGCACCTAACTGTGCAGTTTGAAGGTGCACCAGTGGGTTGTCATCTGTCACTACTGTAACTTTCGCCCCCCACAGATAGTCTTTGAACTTCTCTACTATGGCCCAC